CACGAAGTATTTGCTAGTCTATAGTACTGGAGTAATTAGCGTTTGGATGCGCATTGTGAGCCTTTAACCCCTGTTACTATGTATATAGGAGCAAGTACTATGTTAATATTGTACGAACGATGATGATGTACAAGTAGGGGCCATATACGTTACTCGTGCTGAGAGGGTCTATGTCCCCCAGGGTACGGCCGGAACGTACCCTGGGTACGGTCCGGTATACCGGAACGTACCCTGGTACTATCTAATATGGCAGACCGTACCTCGCCTACTCCACTAACGAGTCTAGGGAGTCGCCTACTCCTACTCCCTAACCCTAACCCTAACCATATCAAATAGTTACCAGGGTACGTTCTGGTATACCAGACCGTACCCAGGGTACGTTCCGGCAGTACCCTGGGGGACATAGACCCTATGAGCGTTACGCGTGGCACATTCTTACCCGATAAAGTCCAAAGATTTAGTATCATCTTTCCACACCCACCTTCCATTGACGGAATGATTCTAAAAACAATGTTAATAATTATTTAAGTGTACATTCACATTTACATATATAACACAAGCAAACAGAAATACATTTCAGCACAAATATTAATATCAATAATATAGCTTGCTATATATATATATATGACAGCTCAGGCCCGTACCCAAAGGGGGTTCCAGGGGTTCCGGAACCCCCCCCCAAACAACAAAAAATAAATAGTACTTGTAGGCTTATTTTGTAGTTGGGCTAGGTATATTTTATCCAGAAGAAAACTGTTAAAATGCACCAGAATGCACCATTTTACAGCAAATTTCCAAAATTTTCCCCTACCCCCTAACATCGCTTCGCGCCTTCGGCGCTCGCAGTCACCCGCACCTCTGATTTGGAACCCCCCCCCCCTAGGCCAATCCTGGGTACAGGCGTGCAGCTTGTCCTCGTTCTAATAATTAGTTAATTATCTCATTATATTTCTTAAATGATTATAGCTAGTTATAATATTAATACAATTATTAATTAATAAATATTGCTGATAGAGGCTACATTGTCAATAATTGTTATGATTATGAAAAACTATAGTTGGTAGGGTCTATGTCCCCCAGGGTACTATCGGAGGGTACCCTGGGTACGGTTCGATATATCGAAACGTACCCTGGTAGGCTGGTACTATCTAATATGCCGGACCGTACCTCGTCTACTCCACTAACGAGTCTAGGGAGCCGCCTACGCCTACTCCCTAACCCTAACCATTTCAGATAGTTACCAGGGTACGTTCCGGCAGTACCCTGGGGACATAGACCCTATGAGCTTCACGCACACTGCCGGAATGTACCCTGGGTACGGTTTGGTATACCGGAACGTACCATGGTACTCTCTAATATGCCGGACCGTACCTCGCCTACTCCACTAACGAGTCTAGGGAGTCGCCTACGCCTGCTCCCTAACCCTAACCATATCAAATAGTTACCAGGGTACGTTCCGGCAGTACCCTGGGGACATAGACCCTATGAGCTTCACGCACACTGCCGGAATGTACCCTGGGTACGGTTTGGTATACCGGAACGTACCACTACCATGGTAACTATTTGATATGGTTAGGGTTAGGGTTAGGGTTGGGGTTAGGGTTAGGGTTAGGGTAGCTCTAGTACTATAGCTAGCGTACATTGACTTGCCTGCGGCAGTCAATGTACGTGGGCTATAGTACTAAAGCTAGGGTTAGGGAGTAGGCGTAGGCAACTCCCTAGCCTCGTTAGTGGAGTAGGCGAGGTACGGTCCGGCATATTAGATAGTACCAGGGTACATTCCGGTATACCGGACCGTACCCAGGGTACGTTCCGGCGGTACCCTGGGGGACATATAGACCCTCTCAGCCACACTGAACACACCACGAATAGTTTACGAATGAATTTTGCACAGGGAGAGATAGTGATCCGCTAAGGGACGGCTCTGATTGGCTAATTTTGTCTCTTATTTATTTTATTTTTTATTATTTTTGGCTAATTTTGTTTTATTTTAGAATCAGGGATAGAGTTAGGGTTATGATTAGGGTTAGGGTTAGGGTTAACTGATTACTATATCCACAACTTATTTCTATGTTCACTAGGCCCCTATCTCTCCCCTGAGACCTGCTATTTACGGGATTTACGGATTCATCATTCAGCGCTGCGATTTATCACAAATTCACAATATTCGTCACAAGACCCGGCGCAGTCGGTTGGATATTCCTAGCGATCGACCATACGATCAGTAATGATGAGCTATATATTAAAATATTCTTTCTTATTTACCTGTTTTTCATTAGCTGCTGACAATGTGCTCATCTTTAACATATAAACTAGGAGTAGGAGTAGGCCCTATAATGGCTATGGCTATGTCAATAATCACTCGAGTTCTCAGTTCACTTGCAATGCCTATGGCTATGCGGTAAACGCCATGTTTTTGGAAGATACTCTACGGAGCAAGCATACGTGTATTTTTTATAAAGAATCAGTTCAGGTAAAAGCAAGTAAAAAAGCTGCGAAGATTTCAACTTGGATTCTTCTTGTGTCAAACACAAAAACGAGAACCAAAAACGCCGCTTTCAATGCGTAACTATGACAACTAGAAACATGCGTTAACCATTGGCAGACCTCAGTGGTTATGTTTCCGTCCGCGCTCGGCCGACAGATGGCGGTACAGTCAGTGTAAACAGTTCGTCAAGAAACGCGATCAAACGAACTGCTCGGCAGTAAGCCTCCAGAATGTTGCCGCTGTTTGTCGTGTTAGCTAGCTAGATAATGGCAGGTTCATCACAACAGGGAGTACATGTAGTGAAACTAAAGCCAATTATCGTTCCAGAAAGCTTACAAGTCGGAAGCAAGTTTGTAAAATGGGACGAGGTATGTTCGTCATTTGTTATCATTCATACTCACATAGTCCTAGGTTATCCTATGCTGACAACCGCGATGACGCTGTAACGTCGTTGTTACTGCTTGTCATCGGTGCTGTGCTGGTGCAGTAGTACTAGAGCTATATGCAGTGTACTACTAGTACTGGGTAGAGCAGCCACGCATCGTTTACGGCTATTCAAATATTAAGCTCTGGGACCCCATCTAATAGCTGCATCATGCATGCAAACTGCATGATATTTACGAGTGTTTAGGTATACGTGTAACGTTGTAACACGCGTGTCCAGTTATTATTAATCTACACACATGACCCTGTTCATGTTAGATTTTGACTGTCGTCTGAAATTGAAGCTGTTGCAATTGCAGTTATACATTTTGGTAGGTACTCTATATCCTTGTGCTACCACACCAGTGTAATGCATTACGGTTTCTTGCGTATACCTGGTTGTACGTAAGTTAGGATTCTATTCTAGTAGATGGTTAAAATTAGGGTCAGGGTCAGTGAAGGAGTTAGGATTAGGTAGGGATAGGGCTAATCCGTTCGTAATTGCAATTGCAACCTCAAAGACTAGAGCTTTGGTAACCGATCTGTCTACCAACTGTCACATGTGGGTGTGAGCAATTAATTGTATCAGGGGCGTGCAAGCAGCACTGAAATGTTTGCCTTGCAGCTAGGGCTCTCACTCTGTGAAATTCATGTATAAACAATGATTAAATACGGTTTTATGTAAGGTTGACTGTAGCCTGCAGTCTTCAGTTCATTACAGTGCGTTTGTAATGATTAGTTAATAGTTTGTCAATTTAATTACAACTCAATAGAATACAGTAATGACTCCAGTTGCTTGATCACTGCACGTGTTTGCGGTTTTGGAGGGATTGAGGAAATTACAAGTTTTTTTTTTACTTTACAAGAACACATTCTAGGGTAAATGATATTTCTTCACACACACACACAGACTTTGCATTTAAAACTACCAACAGTACTTCAAGTTGTGTGAACATAACCATAATTCTTATAAGTGTAATTCAAAGACGAAAACAGTATAGAATGTAATTGGAGATGGGTGTATATATTGAAGATGGCTATAGATGGATGGATGATATAGTGGATTTCGATTGAAAGGTGGATAGAGATGAAGATTGGGCTGGCTGGATAGTGAGATGGTGCTGGCGATGGGGATAGGGCTGGGTATGGAGACAGAGAGGAAGATGAAGAGAAAACAATAGTAGGAATAGGATAATATGGGATGTGTGAGGTTGAGGTACATAAACAGAGCAACAGAGACGGTGATTGCATGCATGCGTGTGTGTGTGCATGTATTCGTGTATGAGTGTGTACATGCATGAATGTATGTATTGTATTCAGCAAACGGTGGCGACAGGATGCGACGCTTGGCACGTCGCACATTACACCAGTATTGAATTGACAAGCGCCGACGACGAGGCACCCGCATAATGCTACACTTATCAAATGGTCCTGTGTGCATTTCCCTCCCAGTATATAGGTGGCGGTATTATTGGAACATAGTTATGATATATCGTTTTTAGTTGGAAATACGTTTTCATGAGGACATGAACTTTTCAAGAGGGTTCAAGGGAATTATTGTATTCAGCAAACGGTGGCGACAGGATGCAACGCTTGGCACGTCGCACCTTACGCCAGTATTGAATTGACAAGCGGTGCCAAACGGTGACCATGTCTTGATGCGACGCTTATAGCGTTTGGGACAACAGCAGTGCCAAATAGTGACGGCCTCTTGAGCGTTGGGACAATAGCGGTGACAAGCTGGACGGCCAGGTGACGCGGCGCGCTATGACGTGGAATGGGCGCGACAGCATCGCTTGCTATTTCACGCCAAAAAAATCAAGTTTTAATTTCCTGCCAAATCAGTTAATCCAGGTTTCGCCTGGGCAGTATATAAGCTAGATCCACACAAACGTCACCATTCTTCGCCACACGCCGCTGTAGATTCTAGATTGATTTTTTCGGACCGTGCAACGGGCATCCATCGAGCTATCCCCCGAGAATAGCCACTAATCTCAATACAACATATGCGTACGCGTGCGTGCGTGCGTGTATGCCTGTATGTGTGTGTATGAGAGAGAGAGCGAGAGAGAAGGTATAATCTGAGGAGCCTTGTTTTTCTAAAGTTTAGGCTGTTGTACTGTTATGTCATTTTCAGCAAGTATCATCCATTATTCCCTGATTGCACTGTAACTATGAGTGGTGGGTTATTTGACAGTGATACAACACTCTGCCAAACAGCAAGTACATGGTGTTTTGTTGCCACGTATAACAGCCATGTAAAAAGCAAGACGGACCGAGCAGAGCCTATTCTGTGCACGAAAAGCCTCGCCTGAATTAGTCATGCGGTTACGCTTGGTACATACTACATAGGGAAGTGTTTTGCACTGCTCTGGGAAAAAAACCTAGTTGATGGAAACAGGAGAGGACGAGGAAGAGAGTAAGTGAGAGAGCGGGTGGGTGGGGGGTGAAGGGATCGAGATAGTCGAAGATACCAAGTTGCAGTTGGGTCTAAGCCACTGCGTGTTAGCTATAGGTGGTCTCATAGTTTTCAAATCTTTATAGGTGAAAAAGAACTGAAACCCGATGAACCAAACACCATTCCAAGAGCCTCCTTGCATGGTGCAGCCGTAAATTCGTTAAACTGTTTTTCTTCTGTCAAATGGGGTAACCACAGCCTCTCGGTACAGGCTTGCTATCCAATCTCTCCAGGGTAGTACCGTATATAATGAATTATATACCATCCGGTTGTATTTCGCAGAAAATATCCGAGAAAAGTAGAAATATAAATGCGAAATGGGTTTATGGCACATTTAGGTATCAATGCAGAAATTATGCTTAATATTTATGAATAATTTAGAGTTCCCCTGTGCCTCATCTATTAACACGTGGAACGGCCTGAGCTGCCTCTCCCCTGACAAGTGTTTACAATTTTCACTCTGCTGGTTTGAGTAGGGAATATAGGTCTGAAGCAGCGCATAGCGCATATATATGTGTGTTGCAGTGTGGATGTTCGTATGGGGGGGAGTTGGCGATAGGACAGCTTATATACGATTAGTTAGTGTCGATAATTTTTATGCCAGTAGAACGAAGAATTCAATCGCGTGTTTTGTTTTGATGTTTCTGTCATTTATGAACTATTAGGTGCAATTACAATTGGTTACTCCATTGCAATTGCCAATCCGTGTCCATGCGTGCTCCTCCGTCGACGCAATGCATGAAACATATTGGTTAATGCCTTAGCTGTTTCGTTGAAAGAACGAATTTTACCTTGGCGTGTAGAACTATCAGGAAAAAGTGGCCTTCCTTCCAGATGTTGTTGTTGTTGTTCAGATCGCAGCTCGTTGCTAGAAGCTTACAGAACGATGGTAATTATTTGTACATGCGATGCACTAATTGATTCTGAACAGGTGAAAATTGGCCCCGATTGTGAATTTTAATGAGTAACGTACGTGCCTTTCTCGTCGATTTCGATTGTCGTGCGTATATGTATATATATATATATATATGGATTACCCCTACTATAGGTCGTCTAGAATATCCGTGATTCTCCCTTCCATTCCCACTGCCTAGTGCCTACTCTGTTCCACGGCATCTCGTGTTTATAATTACGTGTTTGTCAATGTGTGAAACAGAACAGACCCTAGACAGCTCACGTCGAGCGTTAACCAGTAATGAGTAATTCTCGCAATGATCGCAATGAGCGTCGCAATGGAAATGATGAAAAATAAGAATGTATTGGAACAGGTTAGAAAATCAATATGGGGCCGAGTAATTTACCTTGTGGCGAGTCTTATGCACATCCTGGATGTTTCATTTGCAAGATTGTTTACCCAACTGCAGGGTGTCAGGGGTTCACATACTTCACTTAAGGTCACACTAGAGCACGAAGGGTCGTTGTCGTAACAGGTACTACAGATATTTACCCGAGGTAGTTTTAGATTGTTTAGTATTATGTTTATATTTTTATATGAGGTATGTTTAGGGTTAGGGTTAGGGTTAGAGTTAGGGTTAGGGTTAGGGTTAGGGTTAGGGTTAGGGTTAGAGTTAGGGTTAGGGTACACTTCTGTAGTACAAGTATGGTACACTTTGTGTATACATATATGTACCTCGGGTACATATCTGTAGTACCTGTTACGACAACGACTTCTTGAGCCACACTAGACGCCCTGTGACTTTTAGTCGGGCATTGATTGGTTCGGTATAGTATTCCTGGCGGCGCAGGTCGGGAATTTAAGAACCTGGTAAAAGCCATGAGAGTTCAGGAAGCGGTGACTGTCAAGAATTTCCGCTGCCGACTGGACGCCATGCAGCCTGTAGCCAGCGAGTAATGTAGTCACGAGGAAGTGGTCTATGTCCGTATTCTCTGATATAGCCTGATATACTGCATGCGCTACTGAGTGCTGTGTGCAGCACTTCGCTTTCGTGGATCGCAGATGACAGGGCGCTCTTTTCCCGAGTTCGTTTGTGAACTTCATGCGAAACAATTTGATGACGAACGCAGATGGAAGATTGGCGATAGTTGATATTGTGCGCTTAACGAGAGGCGCAGCACCGTTTGTGGGTGAATGTCGGAAAATACTAGGGAATGGCTGTATGCTGGGTTAATACACGGGATGCATCGGCGAATGACAGCATGCTATGATGAATGCCACCGATTTTATCGAGAATGGCAGTCTGTTATGATGAATGGCGTAATCTGTCAGGGAATGGCAGGCCACTATCCCTAATCGAGTAATGACTTTTAGCGATTTTGTTTTATTTTTGGGTTCGTAGAAGTGTTAATATAACTTGAAATCTTTTTTTTAAATGCAATATATATATATAATTATATATATATATATATAATTATATATATGTACACACGCACGCACGCACACAAGCACGCACGCACGCACACGCGCGCGCGCACACACACACACGCATGCACGCACGCACGCACGCACGCACACACACATGCACACGCGCGCGCGCACACTATATATATATATATATATATATATATATATCTCCTGATATGTATATATATAGAGAGAGAGAGGGGGGATGATGCCTAGGGAATCTGTCGCAAAGAATCATTCAGCACAAAATGAAAGATCCGGCTATAGGCATGGGAAACGTAGCGCTAAGAGGCTGCATGCCTTCTTAGGTACATCTTTCTTTCCGCCCGCGGGTTGACAGGCAAGCCCTGCGATAGTCGGTGGGGGTAATGCGGCTAGATTGTACCTGTGAATAAGCTCCTTCTGGATGACCGACGGAGCATGACCCCGAAAGACAGGAACACGATAAGCAACACAGGGACGCGAAAACACGTACAGATTACGAATAAACGGTCCGACGTATGTGCTTCTCTATATGCTTATGAATTTAGCACAACCTCGCAGTCTAGTAGAGGTGGGCAAGTTCGAAAACCGATAGCAGCCCAATGTCGCCTTGTGCCCCAGTAGGCAGACGTACGCGTCGAGGTTAGTCGCGTGTTAATCATCGGCTAATGTGTGGGGCACAGCTGACCAATGTGAGCTCCAGGAAGCTCCGCGTAACACGGCTACAGAAGCCCTCAGAGTTCTTACACTTCTGTCAATCCCATTAAAACTACAGTCCCAGTAGCGCGGAGGTGGCACGTCAGCCGAAGGCGACTGCTTTCGCTAAATTGATAGAAATTAATTAAACACACGCACAAGCTCGCGCACACATTCACACGCGCACGGACACGCGCACGCATATGCACATGAAATAGTATATAGGGGAAAGCTCTCGCATAAGAGCTATTAAAGCGATTTCGTACGGGCGGTTAGGAGGGTCAGTACCCGGGCGCGCACCGGTCACATAAATTGATAACACCGGTGATATTTATGTGTCACGTAGCTCACACGAAATAGCATTGCCATAATGTTCGGTTTACACAGGGCATGCTGATTGTTCATTGTATAGTGCAACGTAAAACCGTCCCTGGGCGACATCTAGCTGTTTACATATATATATATACAGTTCGCGTCGCAGAAGTGATATTTGCAATGTGTTAGACTTGAATCATGATTATTGGTAAGTACACTGGTGCGTTTAAAGAGTCGTTATCTATTTATCACCCGCCCGTCATTTGCTCTAAGGCTATCATGGATCTGCTGTGTGTAGCTACCGTATGTTGTATTTAAACACCCGTTGTCAACGATAAGTGTGTTGTTTATAGCGGTAGCGGTGTAAGGTAAATGGTACATAGCCCAGTCCTGAATCATCAGTTAAGCCACCCAGTGGGGCCGTGTATCCCCTTATATGTGTGCGTGTGTAGGTGGCTATGCGGTAAATCAATGTGTTCGTGCGTGTGTGGTAAGGGGAGGAAGGGGGGGGGGAGTGATCATACATGCATTTCATACATGCATACATGTATGAAATACAAATGAATAACATTGAAATACATTGAAATACAAAATCATACATGCATGATTCATACATGCATACATCATACATTTGTCATTATACGCGCCTGGTTAGTGATATGTACGTGCATCTGTGATCATAGCGTCAATGTCAATGAACAGATTGAGATTACTTGCCCCGCTATGTGTGTGGCTAGTCCCTGTCGTTCGTTATACGTAGTGCTTGATTTAGATATGAGTCAGTCTGCAGATTAAAACGCAATATAATGGAGAGTAGATGCCTGCTGTAAGAGGTGAAAAAGTATTGATGGATACTTCATAGGAATACAGTAATGCTACACGTTACACTAACTCAGGTTACGTAAATTCCGCCATATATGTGATTTGTAAATTATGGCCACTGTATTTGCCATACGAATGAACAATTCACCTTTATGTCAGTGTACACATTAATAAACAGAATATCTACCACAAGACCCTTTTCTTGCACATTACATGTTACATGTTTGATACACATTACATGTTTTATCATCAAGTTTTCGATGCATATATATTGATATTATGTTTAACAATGTTACACTCATGGTTGTACACTCCAAATCAGTATCCAGCGTCCTTTTACTCTACGTGCAGAATATTAATTCATATATTGAATTCCGTTTCCTGTATTGTATATCCGCGTTTCCAATATATATATAATATATATATATATATGCTATGTATATATATATATATAATATATTAATTATGTTTGCAAATGTTCACTTGAATTCATAATTGTGCTTGTGTTAGGGGAGATTATGGGATTCCATACTGCGTTTGGCCGAAGGATATTTCGTAGCAACGCGTCTGCAATTATGTAATGAAAGTCAATAGATGCCACTCGCTCAAGCAACCGAGGGCTTCACGTTGCCAAATTTCGCTTTACGAACATTTTTCTGGAACGCATCATGTTTGTAACGCGGAGTATTACTGCAGCACCAGTTAGGCCAGGTGGTGAAGGCAGAGTTAGTAGAACAGGTGAAATACTTTACAGGGTTTCTTCTGAGGGAAATTAACTTAGACAAAGGAGGTAATGGCCAGTTTGGGAAAAAATGCGCATGATGGATTCAAAGGCGTGCCGTAGGCCGCAGGAAAAGTGTAGACCCCGTGTCACATGACCCAATAAACGCACATGGCAATCTAAATATGCCAGAAGCACGTGGTGATTTATTTATTATTGGGTAACGGTTGACACTGTTTTGACAACAGCGGGTAAATACAGGAACATTTTCACAACGGCGATGTTAAATTTGACAACGGCAGTGCGCCACTGTGCCTCTTACCTATAAGAAACCTAGTGGAACTGGCGAAAAATTGAGTTATTGGTTTACATCGGCTGTGTTTTACAGGTATCAAACGTAGCAACCCTGGTTACTCTGAAGGTTGACCCTAAAGGTCATGTGCTATCATGGAGGGACCAGAACAAGGTAAGCCATAGAAATATAGGTTTGCATGATTTTTATTTAATTATTAGAACGTTGATGCAGATTTTAAATACGTTTGACGCAAATGCTACAGTAGTGATGTGTTTTACCTATAGGTAGTATAACGGTTGCGGAGGACGTGCAGCCAAGCTACGCAGCGTTATTGGAAGTCGCTTTAGCCTCCGAGTTGCCACTTTAGGGATTTTGTAATTAGGCAATAGCTGTAGATCATCCAAGGTTACCAGTAACGATTCCAGGAGTCGTCACTAGCCGATCTCGGTTGTCTCAGTAACATGCAGAATGTCATTCCAAAGTACAGTCGGTCAGCTGCGCGCGCGCGTGCGTCCGTGCGTGCGTAAGTGCCCGACACTTCATGCTTGCGCGGAGGGAGTTCTGTGTGCATGTGTAATGTCTACGTGTGCAGGCATTAACGCGCTTCCCCAGTGGGCCTGTCAGTGCTACTTTACACTTTTACCCAAACCTGCTATTTTCCACTCGTTTTTTCCTCACCGAGATTGAGCGTAGGTCTGTCAGACAAGACGTACAAGTGCTTAGCATGCAGACACGCGAGCCAAGTCTGGGAAATTCTGCGCCGTAATGCTCAATTATTGCCCTTAAATGTCTGACACTTTGCAGAATTTATTTTCATCCTCAGCAAATGTCTGGTTACATACAAGTATTGATTTTATCGTGAAAATGTCTATTCCGATGCATAATCTGGAATATCTATCCTTGGGGTACGTAGCTCCAAGAAACGGTCTTTGCTAGGGTTAGAAAACCACACAGGCACACAGTTAGGCTGAGAGGGTCTATGTCCCCCGGGGTACTGCCGGAACGTACCCTGGGTACGGTCCGGTATACCGGAACGTACCCTGGTACTATCTAATATGCCGAACCGTACCTCGCCTACTCCACTAACGAGTCTAGGGAGTCGCCTACGCCTACTCCCTAACCCGAACCCGAACCCTAACCCTAATGCTAACCCTAACCCTAACCCTAATCCTAACCCTAACCATATCAAATAGTGACCAGGGTACGTTCCGGTATACCGGACCGTACCCAGGGTACGTGCCGGCAGTACCCTGGGGTACATAGACCCTATGAGCCACAGTTAGTTACACAGCCTGGTCGGGCTATCCCTGGGGATGGGATGGGGTAAAAATATTATGAAAGAAGTTGCTGGAATGCCTCACGGGCTGAGTGAAAAAACAAGTGTTTCAGTTTAGGGACAAATGCGCCTGTAGTATCGTGTAGTATATGTAGGCCTCGACAGGCAGGTCATATATGACCTAGTAATACATACATGGACGTTTAGGCCGGTTTTTACGTTAGGGTTTGCCAAAACTAACGAAGGCCGTATATGCTAGTATAGCTGATAGGGTCTATGTCTCCCTGGGTACTGCCGGAACGTACCCTGGTAACTATCTGATATGGTTAGTGTTAGGGTTAGGGAGTAGGCGTACGCGACTCCCTATAGACTCGTTAGTGGAGTAGGCGAGGTACGGTCCGGCATATTAGATAGTACCAGGGTACGTTCCGGTATACCTGACCGTACCCAGGGTACGTTCCGGCAGTACCCCAGGGAGACATAGACCCTGTCAGCGCTAGTATAGTGTATAGTGTACTATTGCATGCTAGCATAATCTATGTCAGTAGAGGAGGGATTGTTATCAGGAAGGTTTCACCCTGTCTAGGTTAGGGTATCTATATAGTTGTAGGCTGTTATAGTTGTAATGTACTGACAACGGGAGAGACTCACGTCGTTAGTGACTACAGGAAAAGAGTTAGGTTATAGACCACAGAGGGAGGGCCACGTACGTTACTTATCAAAGAACGGGTCTATTAGTGACCACTGAGAAAGGGTCGTGTGAGTGACATAGGGAAGTTGACATATGTTAGTGACTAAGGGGGAAAATCAGGTTAGAGACCATCAGAAAATGGCATGTTACTGTTAGTGACCCAGGGAGGCTATATTAGTGGTCACGGGAAAAGGGTCACGTTAGAGACCACAGGGAAAGGATCACGTTAGTGACCACTGACCACAGGGAATGGAAATGTTAGTGAGTGCAGATGAGGGCCACGTAATTGACAACATGAAAGGCCACGTGAATGATCATAGTGAAGGGTCATATTGGTGTCCACAAGGGAGGGACCACGTTATATAATGACCACAGGAGAATTAGACGGGTCACGTTTGTGATCATAGTGATAGGGCTACGTTAGTGACCACATGGGATGGGGATCACGTTAAAGACCATAGGCTATAGGGGGAAGATCACATTATTGATCGTGGGGCGGGAGACACATTTTAAAACCCTGATTTGTGTCTCTAATTTTAGAAGCACATAATTACTGTTATCTACTGCAGAATGATTAGTGCACGTGCGGTCAACATTAAATTTATAATAAGAGGTGCAATGAAAAGACATGAATGATAACTAAACTGTCATGTATAATTAACTGTATACGTTTGTCAATGATGGATGACGATTGTTAGCTTGTGTAGCGGCAATTTAGAAATCCAATTAGTGCGAACGCGCGGCGGAAAATAAAGGGCAGACAGTTGTTGTCTTGACGAAACACGCAACTAAGGTTTCATGCACGTGATGTCGGCAGAATGACAGTATGTATAGCCATGCGGGTATAGCGTATATGCAGTGTCACGGTACAAGCGGCTGTCAGGCAACACATAGCCCACATTGCTAAACACGTAGCAACATAGAGCCCGCACAGACTGCGTCATATGTCTCGAAATAATAGGATTCCCCAGTATGCCAGCGAATTATATTAACAGCTGATGCCGACAGCTTTACCATCTTTTGAGTGTTCGATAATGTTTAGGCGCACTGACACGCATGGCGTAAGCCCATGCCGTCACATACAAAACGTAGTTCCGAGAAAAATTACTTTAATTGGAATATTTTCTATTAGTCTAAAAATATTGAAATATTGTATAATACGCTTGCCCGAATTTTTGCGTGACAATCAAATCAACTTCACAGATACTTCCATATATTTTAGGCAGTTTGCATGGACACATTCAGCAAAGGATGTATACTATTGAAAAACTTTACGATCGAAGTTAGTAAATTACGATATATATGGGGTAAAAGAATGCATGCAATTTCTCGGGTATAAAGGACTAAAAAGCAGTAGCTGTAAAGCAGAGAAAGAGCGTTCAAAAGTGTAAGAGAGAGAGAGAGAGAGGGAGAGGTCGCAAGCTGAGAGCACTATATATAGTGAGTTAGAGGGATAGAGCTATTGTTGAACAACGGACACGAGGCTGAAGACGACTACACACGCACGCACGCACGCACGCACGCGCGCACGCACGCACGCACGCACATATATTATATATATATATATTCCTGCCTGACAAGGACGCCCATGTGCCTTGTTTCTATATGATTTTCACACAACGGTCACCATTGTAGAATCGCTGCTTCTTCGCTGTCCAGCTGCATGGTTATTGATTTGTGGTGAAGGGCGAGAGTAAGTGTCTTAATGCTCGATTAATAGCCGATGTAGGCCGTTAACAGAACGTGTTCGCTCGCTACCAAAAGGGAAACACAGCATAACCTATATAGCTAAACATCAAAGTCGTATCGGTAGGAATTACAAGTTATTAACCCTGTTATTCAGTTGTTAATTTACTATTTTACAGACATTGGTTGGCTATATGGCACTCATAAACTAGTCGTGTGTTCATCGATGCGTATACTGTTCTTATGCATCTGGTTGAAGTTGAGTGATGAGCAATGCTAGTGGGGTTTTCCCCATGTCCCGTTCGTATATGCCGGCGTTGCTAACGGTATATAAAAAATGTAGTGCGTGCTTATACATCGATCACTGTCGGCGCTGAGCGTCCCTTGATCAGTATTATGCGTCGCTGCCAGAGAACGCCGGCGTTCGTCTTGGGCATTAACGTAGTGACAGGCACTTGAAGCGTTTCAATAAAATATAATGCTAACTAAATACGAATGTTTGTATAGCCTATAGGCCTACTCTCTTTCACCTATTATTGCCAACAGTTTCCTGTAAATTCCGTCCAAATCTTACGTCCAACGTACGATGCCGGATGCCACTGCTCTCGCGGCGCGACTGTTGCACGCTTACAGTTACACTAATATATATAGTATAATATATAATATACTATATATATTAACAGTCACTGTGCACAGTGAGCAATGGCGGCGTTAGTGTGTGTGCATAGAGCATTTACACGGAATTGACAGGAAACTGTCGGCAATAATAGGTGAAAGAGAGTATAGAAACATTAAGAATTTTGTAGTACTATAGTATTAGCTAGATTTCGTATTTATTTAGCATTATATTTTATTGAAACGTTTCAAGTGCCTGTGAACGTAGTTCCCTGGCTCATCAGTGATGATCCGTTCAGTGACGCACCCTCACCTCCTACGTCACGCGGATGTTTCTCTTGTCGCTACCTAGCCGACGAAGATTCGTGCGCGTACACGTAAAGCCAACGTGCGTGCGCGCCTGTCTCTCATCTGAGCGCTTTCAGCAGCAAAATTGTCAATTGAGGGCAGGATTGATTGTGCGGGGAGACAGCCGGGCTGATTGACTTGCACGCACACGCGGCGCACCCATGCGCCACGACAGGCTCCTCGCAAAAAAATCAGTCGATGTTATTAAACACCTGTCAATAGCTGAACTACATGCGTGCGGGCATATGTGGCCTTAATCCTACCGCGGATTCCGATAATGTACAGCCAGGAAATTACGATGATAAAGAATAACGTTGGCAAGCCGTGCATGGAAGCTTCGCGTGCTAATGTGCCGACAGACGCATGCAGCCAGGAGCCAGGCTGGTATGCCCGTACGCAACGTCTCTAATCCTTTATTGCATCTCCGAATGTCAAGAGCTTTCATAATTGCATTGGCTTCCATTCCGAAGCCGAATATGGAGCAGTGTTCGCTCATATTTCTGTACCGATTACTGTATTATATGGTAATCTTGTTTTATCTATGTATTCATGTAT